TCTTGGAAATGTTCAACCGAGTGAGAGACATTGGTGATGTTTCGTTTCTACGCTTATCCCGAGGATTCTCTTTCCGGGGACCCGAATCATGTTGCCTTTTAGGCTCAACCTTCTCATAAGATGGACCAATCCTTCTCGGATTCAACGTCTCTTTCATATTTAGGTACTTTTTTGCTCGGGTAATGAGCTTGATAATTGTTTGTAGCGGGGTCTTTGATAAGGACATTTTGAATGCCTCACACCTTATGGCATAAGTGAGGGTGGAGACGGTTGCTGTAATATGCAGGTCGGATATTTGAAGCCTTTCTTTATTAAACCTTGCCATAAGACCATGTAAAGTTTCGTTTTGTCCTTGACGAAGTTGCATGAGGGAGGCTGTTGTCTTCCTGATGTGCTTGCTACTCTCAAAGAAGGTTGAAAACTTATTAGCCAAATCTGAGAATGAGGCTATGGAATTAGGCTCTAATGTTGGGAACCATGGTCACTGATCTCAAGCCCAAGGCTAGGTTAGGGAACCCGAAGTTCCTACTCCACCATCACCAGTAGCAGGGTTTGGTGTTCGGGCTCGAGCATCATTCATAAAACCTCTCTAATTTACCGGTGTCAATGACAGATGTTGATTTCTTTGACTCATTAGCTGAGTCAACATGGCCACTTGTTGACGAAGTTCTTCAAAGGCTCCAGTCTTGACAACTACTGGCTAGGGCACGAGTGTTTCTGATGACTCTTCAGGAGGATGAGGGTTAGGAATGGATGAGTTTGCTGAAAGAAGACCTAATCGTGTGTTAATCATGGCTTTTGGTAGCGATTCCCACAGACGGTGCCAATGATGCTACCAAAAATCTGCATCTGCTAATTTCCCAAGCTTGAGGATTATGAATGAGAATGATCGTAGTCTTCCGGTATTTGAAACAAAGGCAATGAGGTGTGTTTTTGTCATTCCTCAGATGCTTAAGTCGAAAAGGGAATTTGTGCGTAGGGCTATAGACTAGAAATAATGAAAAATGTACTTGGACAATGCTCCAATACTTTGTATATATAAAAGTAGGTAGTATACCCCAAGTAGGATTAGGTAGTGCACTCCTGATGGGATAGCCCTACCTAACATCCTTATCCTATAGAGTCCTGCTAAACCAAAGTGTTGGACTTGCACTACAACTACAGGCATAGTTATGACATGGCATGTAAGGCAGAGTTCTCATAAGGGTCATATGCTGACGTGTTTGGGTAGGACCAAGGTCCCAAGTATGTTGGAATTGGTCAGCAACAATTACCAGGGGAGACTCGGGATTCATCATTAATTGGCAAGCTCGATAATGCGTGAGGGTATATCCCAATGATGGTTCGGTACATCCTCATTCCTGACGTGGTGGCTTATGTTTGGGCATAACGCATACCTCGAGGACTAGGCTACCCCGACCACCATGGTGGTGAAATGGTGAAAAGAGCATCTTAGATCCTTGGCATTCATAGGTCAGGAACGATAGAAAAGTACATCTTCAATGTGTAATATTATTTTATTAAAAAATGTATGATTGATGAAAAAAAGAGAAAAAAATAAATTATAATTTTAATGAGGCCAATTAGGGGCTCATGTGATCCACCGAGTCAAACTTCAAACTGGGAAATGCAAATGTTGCGTAGTGTCATCTCAATTTGACAATCAATCTACAATTTTCATCCCTTGCACTTTGTCAGCAAACTTTGACTTTTGAATTGTTCTTCCATTTTCTATGCTTTACTAACGCCGTTAAATAGATAAGTAATAGGAATAATACAGTGTATCAGCAACAATTTTCTTGTCAATAAATTTAGCTCTACTTAAATTGATATTACAGCTCATAAATTAGAGTAACAATGGAAATTTATTAATTCATTGTACAAGAAACGATTTCCAATATGTATACACACAAAAGACAAGTTTAACATATTCGACGGAGGTAGGGATGGCAATCGGACTCGTCGACTCGGGCCACTTGTAGTTTGACTCGAAAAAAGCTCGAATCGGCTCCGCTCGAGGCTCGGAGGCATCAAACCAAAGCTCAAGCCGAGCTTCATTTTTTAGAGTTGGCTCGAGCCAAGCCGGGCCGTAAAAAAAAGGGGAAAAATCTGCTGCCTGTTTGGCAGCTAAACTGCCTTAACAGACAGCTTCATAGCTATCGGTGGCAGTAGATTTGCTGCCATCAGGCAGCTATAACAAGCTGCCAACCGGCAGCAAATTTGCTTTAGCTACCGAACAGGCAGTAAGAGGCATAGGAAAAAAAAAATCAGAAATCGAGCTCAGCCCGGCTCGGTAAAGCCCGAGCTGAAAGCTCGGGTAGAACCTTAATTTTTCAACCGAGCTTTTCTCGGCCCGGCTCGGGCAAAAAAAACCTGCCTTAGAAAAACTTGAGCCGAGCTCGAGCCAAAAATTTTGGCTTGCGAGTCGGCTCAACTCGACTTGTCAACATCACTAGATTTAGGGTACCATAAAATAACACGACTATAATTGGATTGCAATGGAAAAGATAAATTCCCTCTGTGCTGAATAAAAAAAAAATACAAAAAAATCATTATTTGCCAAAATAATATTTTAAATAGTGATTTTTAGGAGAATATGTGGTTAAAAATTAGAAAAAAAATTTAGATTTACATATATGATATTTTATTGTGCGAATGTATGGTTGAAAACGAAATGTAAAAAAAATTATTTAAATAATGGTTGTCAAACAGTGGGTAGATGGAAGGTCTCCCGACTTTAGTTCTCATTGGACAACATTGGAGGAAAAGTAACAGTCCGTAAGCAACCAAGCGTGAAATTACTAAGAAGGACATTAGAGATGAAGAAGAGGGGTTAGTAAGGAGTCGGGTTAATTATATGAATGGTCACTGAACTTTGTCCTATGTTACTACTTAGTCATTGAACTTAAAAACGTAACTCGATGGTCGCTGAATTTCGCCAAGTGTTACTAATTCATAACTGCACTTTAAAATATATCTCAATAGTCATCGAATTTTGCACCGTGTTACCTATCCGTCATTCAAATGGAAAAATCCGTTAAGTCTA